CGCAGAGCCCCTCCCGCAAAGCCCCACCCGGGTGCGCGGGCATGGCGGCCAGCCTGTGGATGGGCGACGTGAGTGAGGGTAGTAGTCCCGGGTCTGAGGACGAGGAAGCATCTCGGTTTCGCGAGGGAGGAAGTGTCTGAGGAGGAGGGGACTTGGGATCCCAAAAAGGGGAGACGTGTGACCGGGTTGTTTTTGGTGACACAGAAGCGGATTCCAGCATCTAAGTGAAAAAGCTGAGTCCGTGAGGCTAGGAGTCCGGGGGTCCCACGTGGGTTCGTGGGAGGGAAAGGTGGTGCTTTGGGGACATAGAATGGGAGGAATCCAAGGACTGAGGCGCGCTGTTTTAGGACCGGAGGAGTGGGGTTTCTAGGTCCAAGGGGAGACTCCCTAAAGGGGGGCAAGCTTGAACCAAAGGAGCCGGGGTTTCGGGCCGCTCAGCGGAGGCGAACCTCGCCGCTCGCTCCCCCAGCGGCGCGTAGCCAGCCCTGGGCTGACGGAGAGGGACTCTGGAACCCGGAGTGGGAAGCCCGGCTGCCAGCCTGAGCCGCTGCGCTCTTGTTTTTACGCAGCTGGAACCCTACATGGATGAGAACTTCATCTCCAGAGCTTTTGCCACCATGGGGGAGACGGTAATGAGCGTCAAAATTATCCGAAACCGCCTCACTGGGTAAGTCTCATCTCAGGTCTCCCTTAATACATCTCGTTGCAGCTGTCATGTACGAGAATGTAAACATCGTAGTCATGGCTTCTCACTACCCCTAGTGATAGTCACTGTAAAATTATAACGGCTAACATTTTGAGGTCCTAATGAGTGGAAGAATAGCATGTAGCTTAAGGGCAGGACTTGCCAGGCGTGGTGGGTCACACCGTAATCCCAGCACTTTGGGAGGCCGAGGTCAGGAGTTTGAGACCAGCCTGGCCAACATGGTGAAACCCCGTCTCAGGAGTGGATACTTTGGCAAGATGGCGGGGAGCGGCGTCCGCCAAGCTGCCTCTACCGCCAGCACCTTTGTGAAGCCCATTTTCAGTCGGGACATGAACGAGGCCAAGCGGAGGGTGCGCGAGCTCTACCGCGCCTGGTATCGGGAGGTGCCGAACACTGTACACCAATTCCAGCTGGACATCACTGTCAAAATGGGACGGGATAAAGTCCGAGAAATGTTTATGAAGACCCCAGGGTGGTTGATCTTCTGGTCATTAAGGGAAAGATGGAACTGGAAGAAACAAAGTATGGAAGCAGCGGACACATGTTATGCGGTTCTTCCATGAAACAGAAGCGCCAAGGCCGAAGGATTTCCTATCCAAGTTCTATGTTGGCCATGACCCATAAAGTCACTCAGTGGAAAGGTGCATGTTGATATTATTTTAGAGCACAAATAAACTCACTATACGATGGTCAAAAAAAAAAAAAAAAAAAAAAAAAAGAAACCCCGTCTCTACTAAAAATACAAAAATTAGCTGGGTATGTTGGCAGGCACCTGTAATCCCAGCTACTGGGGAGGCTGAGGCATGAGAATCGCTTGAACAACGGAGGCGGAGGTTGCAGTGAGCCGAGATTGTGCCACTGTACTCCAGCCTGGGCAAGAAGAGGAAAACTCTGTCTCAAAAAAAAACCCAAAAAACAAAAGGCAGGACTCAAGCGAGACTGGGTTTTAAAACTATTTCTACTGTATGATCTTGGGTAAGTTACTTAACTGCTCTGTCTCATTCGCTTTGAGTATAAAAATGGAAATAATAATAGCACGTATCTCCTAGAGTTATGGTGAGGATTAAATGAGTTAATTCACATTCATCATTAGGACAGTGTCTGGCATATAGCATATGCTCAGTAAGTATAGTCAGATTACTATCTGCTAAGTAATAAGCACTTTACATTTATTATCTTCTTAAAACCTCAGACACTTCTGAGGTAAGTAAGTACTATTATGAAGAGGCTTAATTAAAAGTTACAATAAAGCCTGGCGCGGTGGCTTACACCTGTAATCCCAGCACTTTGGGAAGCCGAGGCAGGCAGATCACGAGGTCAGGAGATGGAGACCATCTTGGCTAACAAGGTGAAACCCCGTCTCTCTACTAAAAATACAAAAAGCCGCCGGGCGCGGTGGCTCACGCCTGTAATCCCAGCACTTTGGGAGGCGGAGGCGGGCGGATCACAAGGTCAGGAGATCGAGACCATCCTGGCTAACAC